TTTCTCTCCAGTTTCTCTAATGTGATGGATGCAGAGATAGCCCTATCCCGGAGGTGCTCTAGTTCCTGTGCATGTTTCGCTAAGCCGGCTTGCAACTCTCTTATCGCACGGTGCAAATTTAGTTTTGAATCCACCTTGGTTTTACGGGCCACTCCTCTTCTCACTTCAATTCATTCCCCTGTCGTTCTGTTCTCGTTTAGCCTAGCGCTCTTACCCCTTCATGCTACATTCCCGCAAAGGACGTCAAGGTGGGTGATTGGAATGGGAGAAGCGGAATGAAGGGTGGTCTAGTGCAGGTAGCTAGATGGGTAAAAGAATGTAACTAAGGTTTAGCGCCAACAAGAGTAATGTGCTCACATAAATATTGGACAGAACGGAGGTTCTCTTGGTCGGGCACCATTTCACTATTAAACCCGCCACTCGGGCTAAGGACTTGGAGGTATTGATATCAAACACTTTCAGTGGTATAATCAGTTTGCAGTAGCGGCGCAAAAAGCTAGGGAGAATTATTTAGATTGTGGTCGGTCCTCACATGTAGACGACCGGAATTCTTCGTTCCCGTTTACAAGGCCATAGTGAGACAGCATCCGGAATATTGTTTACAATCGTAGTCACGCTCACTTAAGATGAATGCTGCCTATTTAGAGCAAGTTCAGAGATTGATCACCAGAGTTCCTGCACGCGGAATGGGAAGAAAATATGAGGAAAGACTAAGTGCTTTAGGGCTCTTTTCATTGGTATTAAGGGGATTTTGCAATGAGCTGATGGAAACCATCAACTTAATCAAGGGAATATTAGGGCTAGAAGTGGGCAGTCTCTTCACAATAGATCTCTAACATGGCATTATGGTCATGAGTTCAAACTCATGAAGTGGAGATGTCGGCTAAACATGCGGAGTCAAATTTTCAGGAATAGCACAGTCCACAGATGGAACCGGCTTCCATAGGAAATAGTCCACCTTCAAACAGTGAAGGCTTTTCAGACTGCAGCTAATAAGCTATCAGTGGAACCATTCTCCCCTCTGGCAGTGTAAATGAAGGAATGCGCGCCAGATGTTTAGGCCGGAAATAAGTATTTTCTGTTATGTGTTTTCTGTGAATCTGCCAGGCGCCAACATTTTGTATTAACTGCGCCAGGGGTCAAGCTCGGGGTCCTTCATACTAACCACTAATCCATAACAGCTTGACCCAGGCCTAGATCGCTGTGTTCTCATGTGTCTATTTTCAGAAATACCCCATCTCGAAAAATCCACTGAGGGCTGAGACAACTGGACCCATCGGCGGAAACAAAACGTCATGGTCGATTGCTGGAATCGACTATGGGCAATGTTGGAAGCTACAAACACCCGCCAACAACACAACAGTCTGGATGCTTGATTGGCTGGAAGCCAAAAGTCCTGTGCATACTGAACTGCACTGCACTGACCTGAACTGACCTAACTTTGGCGTAACCGTTTTCGTAACCGTTTTTATCAATTATTGACGCTCATTTTACATTTTGTTTCGTATAGTATATTTGGTGCCCACATTTATCAATTTACTTACATTGCGCATCATTTTCGAAATATGTCCCGTGCCAACTTTCCGTGTCTGAACAAAGCGTACTATAAAAAGGGGGTTAGAAATATCATGTGCAACGTTTGTGAAGAGGAGGCTTACCAAAAGTGCACAGGTGTATCTTTGGAGTAGTGTAAACACAGTAGACAAGAGTGGGTGTTTAACAGTTGCAAAGATGTTGCACGCCACCATAATGCCCAACTTGCCGTCCCCGAGTAGTCACCAAGACTGGCCGAGACAAAACGAGTTGAGCACGAGGAAGTGATGGCTGCAGAGATGACAGTCCAAACTTATGCCGATGTTGTGAAAAAAACCGCCCAGCGAACCAGCACTAACAGCTGGTATACCACAACCAAAGGATAAGCAAGTCAAGTCCCAGCCGAAACAATAAATCCTTGCATCGTCAAGGGAGTCCAAGGTACTCGGAGTAAAATCCTTCACCAGGTAGAGAGCAAACCGCACAAATAGCGTGCAGAAGTAGTCTTGATGAAGGCTGTCAAAGAAGAGAGATCATTTAGGTACAACATGTTACTGGTCGTCAATAAAAAGGAATCAATTGTCAGGGATTCTTACACCCGGCGCGACCTGGACCAAGGCTGATCGACAGATATCCTTCGATTGGTTGGTCTAGATTTAAAATGCCACGTCAAAAGATACACAGAGTGGGTGTTTGGAAGTAGCCAAACGCAAACACAATGCCTGCGGCCCGATCAATACTAGTGGAATTCGGAGAAATAGAAGAAGAATGATACCAAACGGAATGTAGGATATAAATGGTCCAAGGGAGGAGCCAGTAACTATCTTACGCAGCAGCCGATAAAAACGCTAGAGAAATGGGGTTGTGATTACAAAGGATATACTAGAGGAAGAGGAATAGAGGACTTGCTTGTCGAGCAGGTCGGAAACTGAGGATGAATGGGTCATTGTTTAAACATCGATATCATCGTGGTGGACGTCCATGGTAGATCCTACGGATCCCGAACTTAGGAGGCGTAGGACAACGGCAAAAACCGATATATCAAAAACGTACGGAATCCCCACGGTGACAGCTAACCTTCCATCAATCAAAAGAGTTGACAGTGCTCGATAGGTTCAAGGCAGAGGGGCCTGACGGAATTCACCCAGCGATTGCACAACCGCTGGCTGACGTCATAATGGGCCACATCTTTGGGTTATTCAAAAGTCGCTTTGATTGAGAACTGTCCCGAACGACTGGCACAAAGCCACAGTAGTGGCAATACACAACTCTGGATCCCGCAAAAAGCCGAGAATTAGGGATCAGTAAGTCTGACGTAAGTAATATGTAAATGTTTGGAGCGCCTAGTTAGAAGGCAACTTTGCTACTACATGGTCAATAGCGGACTATTGGGCTCGCTCAGCATGAATTTGTTGGAAAGAGATCTTGTCTGGTAAACCTGCTGGTATTTCTAGACGAAGTCACAAGGAGAATAGATGAGGGTCTACCGGTGGAGGTATGCTATCTGGACTTCCAGAAAGCATTCGACACGGTTGGCTACCATATATATGTTTTCACTTAACTAACCCATTCTAAAAGGCACATGCTGACCACGCAAAAGTGTTCACCTTCACACCCGTTCTCCATTCAATACACTAGTCAAGTGACATAGCTGATCAGTGGAATAGGTAGCGTTCTGGTAAACATCTACACCCGGTTTGTTATCCATAATTCTGAACATCTCAGCTCTATCATCTATTCGCAATTCTTTTTATCCCAACCACTCCCGTGGCACATGCTGACCAGGCAGCAGTGTTCACCTTTACACCCATTCTAGATCCAGTACACTGATCAACCTACATAGCTGATCAGTGGATTAGATATTCTTCTGGTGAAAATCTACACTAGCTTATCATCCATATTACTGAACATTGTTGTAGTTCGTACTCAGCCTAGTATTTCGTATACGTATCGGATTCCGCGCACTAGTAGTCCGACCCAGAACTAGGACTCGAAACGAAATCAGAAGTCAACTCAGAGGCGGAATGGAATTGTGATAGGCGGAAATTAGAAATTTACAAGGATATCGTGTTCAATAAAACAAAAGAGTTCATGGTTCATGAGCAATCACCACATCCGCCGCAACTTGAATGAAGCTCCGGTCTTCTGTAATCACGGCGGAAGTTGTTGAGTAATCGTTCAGATCTTCTGGATCGTTCTGTACTGTTTTCGACATATGTACTGGGATGTAATTCCTCTGGGAAAGACTCAGAAATAAAGGGATTAGTAGGTTCACAACTAGTATCAGCATTGGGCCAACTACAAATTACTTGGCCTACATGTCTGCGATGTGCAGTGCCATCATCTAGATCCAATATGCGACATACTCTTTGTCCCATATTGTCCAGTACAATGCCCCTAGAGGGTCGTAAATCGGTACCAGGACGATACACGACCTCCGCAGACTCCAAGCGTAAAAGATTTGTTCGAAGTACTCGACTCTTAAACAGCTTTGCTGGACTGTGTCCCGTAGTTGAATGTACTGCGTTACGGTATTGCATCAGAAAGTTATCAACACCTCTGTCCAGTTCGTCGAATGTACTGGGATTCAAAGAAGCAATGGCACTCTTCAGCGTGCGTACAAAGTTTTCGGCTGCGCCATTGGATTGCGGATGTTGGGGTGGAGTGAGAACATGCTGACAACTCACGGAGTTCAACCAATCTGTAACTTTCTTGGCAGTGAAATGACTTCCAGTGTCAGTCACGATAGCATGCGAGACACCTTCTCTACTGAACGTTTTCCTGAGTGCTCGAATAGTAAATTCTGAACTGGGAGTTGTGGTAAAGTACACTTCTGGCCAACGGGAATAGGAATCGACGATCACCAATGCGTAATACTTGTTAAAGACTGGACCACAGTAATCCACATGTATTCTTTGCCATGACTCGGATGACACTGACCACGGAGTCCGTTTCAAAGGCTGTCTGTGAGTTTTGTGCACACATTCAGCACAGGATTTAGCAACACGATTCTGATCATGATTCAATTCAGGCC